GACAAAGTCCAGTCAAAATACAATGAGAACTTGATTAAAAACAGTGGGATTCGGTTGGAGTCATTTTGAATTTCAAGTGTCTCAGAAACATTCACTTGTAGACGTTTAAAAGGGAATAAGATATTTGAGTCTAGAGGGAGAGGTCATACATATAATTACTGATTCTCGGGCATCATATTTGGAAGTTGAAGCAGTGAAAACAAGAGTGATCACTGAAGAGATCATGTGTTCCACAGAACAGCATTTGTATCACCTTGCAGCTTGTTAGAAATGCAGGATCTCAGGCCCTACCCAAGACTTACTGAATGAGAATTTTCATTTTACTTGAATCTCAGATGATATCTATGCACATTAATGTTTAAAAGTCTGCTGCATATGTTAGGGTCCACCAGCATCTTGCCATTGCATGGGCCATGGGTCGTCCTTCGAAAATAATTGGGCAGACCCGGACAAATGTAAGGTAAGTACCCAAGAAATTGCTAAAATAGTACAGGCACAACTCATTTTATTGTGCTTCCCTTTATTGAGTTTCACAAGTGTTGCATTTTTGTTGTTGTTTTTTTACAAATTGAAGGCAAGACCCTCCGCCAGCAAAAAGATCATGACTCATTGCAATATCTGCTTTATTACAGTTCTCTGGAACAGAATCTGCAATATCTCTGAGGTATGCCTATAGTTTAAACCCTAGCTGCACATTGAAAGAACCTTTATAACTTAAACATATACTGAAATGGGGATTTTACCCCTAGAGATTCTGATTTATTTGTTCTGGGGTGAGGCCCAGGCATTAATATTTTAAAAGTTCCCCAGGTGATTCTAATGGGTAGCTGTGGAAAAGAATCATGTGCTAAGAAGTCTTAAGGGGAAGCAGAAGTCTAAATTCAATAAAATATAATAGGATTGTTTAAATAATGAGGGCATGAATATATTAATAATAGAATCCTTTGTTGCTGTGCAGCAGGATGGTGTGAAGGTAATTTCTGGAAAGTATTGATGACATATAAAATGGCATATTCTTTAGGAAAACTTTGAGTTCTTATTAAGCTCTTAATTTGCAAGAGTTTCAATTAACTTAGAAAACTTATACAATAATTTTTTTAAAGTTAGCAGAGATAGGATAACTTGTGTTATGTTAAAGTGGTTGAGGGGAGAGAGAAGGAGCAAGAAGTCAGGAGAAGGGAGAGATTTTTCTCTTAGTGATAAAAAGCTGTATGCCTTAATTTGCTAAACCTTGAAACGGTGGCATTTTGTAAGACAGAAAGACTGTGTAGGTGTAAGTAGAATGTCAAGGATGAGTCAAAGATTAATACCTAAATTATAGAGTATGATGGAAATTTTATGCCTCTGCCTTTGAAATCAAGTTGGAGAGAAGGAAGTATTGACTGATTTTAAAGTACTACTGATATTGGGTTATCATTTAATCAGATAAATAATACCTGATTCCAAGAATGGAGAAAAATAAGTCATGTATTTTAAAATAGTTCTGCAAATTTTCTCATGCATATAGCTTATTTATTGGCAGAGTAGCTCCAACTATGTAAAAAGAGATCTCAAAATGTGTTATGCACTAATCCTAAAAACATTTTTCCAAATGCTCAGATCATGTTACAGTTAAAGTGTTGAGGTAATCTCAAAAGTGACCTACCAGCAGAACAATTTTTTACAAAATGTTTATAGAATGTCTGTATTTTTGTATTCAATAGCTGCCAGTTAAATTCTCCAAACCACCCTGGGTGAAAGAACTGCAAGACACTCTCTCTGTCCTTGAGGAGCTTAAACATTTGTTCAATAAAAACGATTAGAGTTGTGCATCTAAGGAAAATACTTTTTCATGATACAGTAAAATTGCACTTAAAATTGAGAAAATCTATAAAATAACAAAGCTCAGGGTTTTAAAAATTGAATGACAGAAATAATACTTTCAGTGATATGGGAATGCAAAATAGCTACAGATGGTTTAATAGCTGGTGCAACATTTTAAAGAAATTATTATATCAGCTTAAAGACACAGAATACTGGCTTGAGATGTTGTAAATAAACCACAGTTCTCCTTAACTTAGAACATGGGCATAATTATCTTCTCACTCGAATTCTTGAAATAGGGTGGGTAAAATATTGTTGCTTTTCTTACCTGAACATATTAATTTTGCAAAGAAGATGTAAAGGAGCCTTTTCTTCAATACCCATCCTCACCCACACTACCCCTACACACATACCCTGTCTGTTCCCTGGTGTTTTGTGATGGTGACTACTATTAGAAGTAAATAGGCTATTGCAGATTGGAGGAAGTTGAATGTATGGTAGACTATTTGTACGTACTATGTGCTCCACTTTCCAATAAAACCATTTCATTTCATTCTCATTTTGGCTAGTATTATACAACTTTGACAAACTGAAAAAAATTGAAGCTCAAAGAGATGAAGTTATTTACCTAAACTCACACAAAGGAGAATTTTTTAAACTAAATTCCCTACAAGACATGATATCTGTTCCCTGGGTTGTAGAACATCACTCCAAGTTTGAAAATGCAATAGCGTGAATGTACTTTCAAGAGAACCCAGATGTAGTTCAGGGTTCCCACTTTAGCAACTTTCTTTGGGTCTCTAATCTCAAAGTTTAGGAGTTTAACATGTGGCCCCTAATTCAGATTCTGGCTCAACCATTTACTAGCTCTGTGACCTTGAGTAGATTAACTAATATTTCTTATTAGATCTCTTTTCCTCTTTTATGAAAACAATTAATACTAGTTCCTACCTCATATGGATATTGTAGAAATTAAATGGGTAATTCATATGAAGTGCTTAGAACAGTAGCCAGCATTTGGCAAGTAATGTTAGCTGTTATTATCTCCATAACTCTCAAATTTTGATCTCCAAGCCAACTAGCTCTTCTAAGCTGCAGACTGATAAATCCTTCTGGTGCTGCTGGTGAGGATGCTCTCCTAAATGACCTCTTAAACTCACCAAATAGCAATCACCTTTGACATAAGATAATACAAAGAGTTTGACACAGTAAGTGGTGAATAAATACTGAATACATTTTAGCTATTATTATAATGTATTTCCAAATTATTCTTTTTCTTTCACTTCTTTTCTGTAAATAGAGCATCATCATTCAGGGAATCTCACTCAGTAGGCTGGGAGTCATTTTAAATCTTTGTATTTTCTCTATCTAGCAAGATCCAGCCAGTCACTAAATCCAATTTTTCCTCCTCTTAATTATCTTGTATAACTTCTATTCCCACTGCCATATATATATATTTTTTGCTTCAGTTATTTGAACAGGTGTTTAATGGTCTCTGGGATCCAAGGCATGCCCCCTCAACCCACTTCCCTCAATGATGCTAGAATAAATCCTTGAAATTCAAACTGAGTCATTCACTTGCGTGAAATCCTTCACTAACACCTCCAAGATATGTCTCTCACTCCTTTCTTGCCATGGTGAACAAAATCACCTCCTGCTCAAGCTTCATCTCTCAGATGTGCCAGATGTTGTGTGTAGCTGCATGATCTTCTCCTGAAATTTCCTTTACACTCTTATTCCTAAGGGCCATTGCAAATGTTGTTATTCAAACCTAGAATTGGCCTTCCTCAACTCTGTAAAGAAATATTTTCATCCAAAAGATTGGGAAACACAATGATTATTTGAATAGATTTTTAGGATTTCAAGTATATTAAATCAAATTCAATACAATGACTCTTTTGGGGAGCCAAAGATTTGCCAATAACTGGGTGTACAAAATTCACATAAGAGAAGCTTTGCAAAGTTGTTAGGGTAGAAATTGTTATCGCTAAGAGCTTTCTGAGAGAAACTAGTATAATCCTTTGGATGCTGAGAAAACTATAATCAGACAAAACCTTTCTCAAGGGATTACAAATCTAAAACAAAACAAAACTTCCAGCATTACGAGTGCCACGACCATGGAAAGGGCAATAGATTCATATATAATTGAAATGTGTCAGTCTCTCCTTATTGCCTAGGAGTCTTGCAGGACCTGATGGTAGTTTTATCACGGCTCACTGGTGTTGATTCAAATTACACCAGCCTCTATACACCACCATCCAGTGGTAACTGAATTTGATTCTGAAAAAGACTTAGGAAAACTGACATTTAACATATCAACTGAAAAAAAAAGAAAGAAAAATTGTTTAAAAGTTCAGATTGGGATGATTTATCAATAATTCCAAGAAAGAGAAGTAGGAAGGTTCTAAGCATTCCAGTAGGTGGTTAAGGTAAATATTTTGCATGCTACAATTTGATAACAGATAATCTTTGCTGGGTCAATCTGACTGTCTTTTATACACAGCTTGTAAATGTAAACTGCAGTCATTCAAAATGTGTTTCCTCTTAAAATTGCCTACCTTAAACAGCTCTAAATTGAAGAGTTAGTCTAAAACCTCCCAAACTAGGAGATTTTGGCTCTGTGTAGCAACAGTAATCTTTGGTGACTCCTTTCGTCAGGATATAGTTCACACTCCCTAGTATGATATATAGGACCTCCAGATTTTTCCTTTCAGCAGTTGTCCTACATCATCTCATCTCTACAACCATCGTCCCCTCTAATCAGACCAAAATTGCTGGTTTTGAAAGGCATTTTGCTTTCTCTTGCCTTTTTGCCTTCGTACGTGGTCTTCCTTCTGCCCAGTGTACTCTTCTCTCCTTGTATAAGTCTCTTTTATCCTTCAGTACTCTTACACTAATTCCTAAAGATTGTGAGTTAACAGCTTGCTTATGTTTCTCTCTCTGATATTCCCATAATAAGTCCACGTTTCTGTTGTTTATATCCATTGTATTTAATGGTGATGAAGAAAAAGATGATGATGATAGCAAGTATTTCATTCTAGGCTGTGAGCTTTTTGAGATAAGGAATATTTCACTTTTTTCTTTATCTTCAGTTTCTAACATGGCCTTGAACATAATAACTACCAATAGAATAAATGAGTAAAGTATTACAGTATATATTTGCCTTTTAAATGGCTTGTAGTAAGAACCGTATATAAGTGCTCACTTCACCAGCACATATACTGGAATTGAAGCAATACAGAAGATTAGCATGGCTCCTGAGCAAAGATGACACACAAATTCGTGAAGTGTTCCATATATATATATTTTTTAAAAGAACTGTCTATAACATGTGTGGTTGGCTTTCAGGTATGGTTCAATATTAATGGTCAGAGGTCCAAATGTACCTTACAGCACGTCTGACATATAATCAGTTATCTGTTGTATGTAATTTATGCTTGACTTCAGTGTTTCAGTTAACCTCACATCATCTTCCTTCCTTCGAGCCCATTCCTAGTGGATAAAATGAACTGTATAAGATGAAAATATCATCATTTTTGCTTTGACATCTGAGTTGCTATAATATTGATTCATTCCAACTTGAAAATCCATATCCGAAAAGATATTTGCATACTGATATTCATAGCAACATTATTCACAGTGGCCAAGATGCAAAAGCAACTGAAGTGTCCCACAACAGATGATAGGATAAAAAGGCTGTGGTACATATATTCAATGGAATATTACTCAGCCATAAGAAGAGATGAAATACTGCCATTTGTGACAATGCGGGTGGACCTTGAGATAATTGTGCTAAGCGAAATAAGCCAGACATAAAAAGTTGAAAACCACATGATATCACTTATATGGGGGATATAAACCTAAAAGCAACAAATGAACAGGACAAACAAACAGAAACTCATGGACATGGACTATAGACCAGTGATTACCAGAAGGTGGGGGTGCAGAGAGGTAGATGGAGTAAAATGTATGGTGATAGAAAGAAATCTAGCTATAGGTGGTGAACACACAATGCAATGTGTATGTGTGTGTGTGTGTGTGTGTGTGTGTGTGTGTATAACCAATGTCGCCATAATAAAAAATTTTTAAATTAAAAAAAAAGAAAATAGAATATTGATTTATTCCTCATTCCCCATTCATTCATATATATTTATTAAGCAATTACTATGTGATGGAACCAATAAAATCAATTGTACTCCTACTACGAGTTGTGTTACACTTTGTAATGTGCTGTTATATTATAGTTATGGGTGAATATGGTTGCTTTTGCTTCCTGGTTACAGTTCCTGAAACAGAAATTCCACATATGTTAATTGAATAATCAAATTGATGAATATGTGATCCAATGACTTAATTTATTTATCCGGTGACTATTTAAATTTAATAAGTTTAAATTCCAGACTTACCAAACAGAATAAGTGGCTTAGGTGTATTTTCCAGTTCAAATGCTCTCTGTTTACTCTTTCTTTAGGGTTATAAGATGCTATGATTAGGTCAATAGTTTTCAAATATATATTTAAAGTACTAGAACTTTATTTTCAAAGTAGTCAAAAATATAGAATGGTATATACAAAAAAGTAAAATAAATATGATATTTAATCTTATTGTTCAAAAGCATTTTTTATATCAATGTTGAACATATAACCTCCAGATTCACAGTTTTACAAAACACTAGATACACCATTTACACAGAATTCAATGTGAACTATGCCCCTAGAGTTGTCCAATGTGGCAGCTCTTACTGCCTTATGGTCTTTTTAATATGTATATCTATGTATATTTTATTATCTTTATTAACATAGAATCCTGCTTTCCTAATTTATGTTATTAATATTTTCCATATTGTTAAACTCATTTTTACTAGTTACCTCTTTTTACTTATCAGTGTTTCGTACACAAAATATAGACTCACATAGCGTTTGTAAAGCCCTGAAGAGATGAGTTCAGGCTTTCTGTTAGTTTCGTGTGCCTCCCAACAGGAAACTGATGAAGAGAGTATTTCATATAATATCAAGGTCCTATCAAAACGGTCCTGGTTCCCACAAACCACGCCATATTCATCTGTGGAGAGAGATTTCTGAGGGTGGGAGGCATGAAATAACATAAAGTCTTACAGAATTAATTGCCAACAACAGCCATTATTAGTTACATTTTGGTTAATATAATTCTTTTAAAAAAGAATATAGCTAAAAGCCAAAGACCTAGTGATACTAAGAATTTATCATAAGGAACTAATTCAACAATAGCAAAAATATATGCTAATGATTGTCATTGCTACATTATTTATGAGGCTAATACCATTTTTTCTATTTATATCTTAATTTTATTCTATATAACAAAACAAATTCCACATGGACTTTAAAATTTAATGTAAAAAAGAAACCATTAAAAACAAGAGAAAATTTTATGTGAATAATTAATAAATATTTAGGTGGGGAAAGCTTTTGATACATCAAAACAGAAATAATAACATGATGATACTTGAATATATAAAAATAAAAACTTCTATAATTAAGAAACATCATAAATAGAATAAGACAAAGTACTTACTATACAAGATCAGTTATAATTCAATAGAAAAATTGGCAAAAGTTATGCAACAAACAGGAATATTAACTCATAAACATGGAGAGATATTGAAACTTAGTTCCCAGAAGTGAATATTTAACCAATGGAAAGCTCTGCAATATGAGTCTTTCTCTTTTCAGTGACTATCTTAGTTTAAACAGTCGTGTTTAAACCCATTTGTCTTTAGCCTATGGCAAGTAGAAATTTATTTGTCCCTATAAGTTTTCCTGTGTTTTGTTACCTCCTTCTCCATCTCTCCACCGGTATTGTACATAGCAGTGCAGCGATGCCTCTCCATCCACAGTCTGGCACTCCACCATTTCTGGGAGCTCGAGGTCCAACTGTGTGGGGCCAACTTTCTTGTTTCTAGTAGTAGATGTCACTTGTCAAACTTTTTGAGTAATCTCATTAGAGGATTGGAAATAAGAGGGGCTCAGGGACTGCCACCCAAGCCAGATTCCTTTGATCTGACATAACTTATCAAAAAAAAGATATTGAAAAATATTGATGTATATACTATTATAACTATAGGGAAAATATCTTGATATGAAGAACACTATATTAAAAAAGGAAAAAAGCTCTGCTGCAATGATGGAGTTATTTATAGATTGCTGTAAAATATATTTTTAAGCTTCTTTTTAACTTTTAATAGAAAGTAAGAAACTTATTCACAGTTGTAGCATCACATAATAAACGAGAATTTCCAAGAAGAGAGATGTAGCCTGCTTCTTGATTTCACTAAGTGCCCTCCCCTCCCCATGTCTCATTGAAACCTAAACAATCTTTGTAGAAATTTAAAAGAAAAAAGAAAAAAATAAGTGAAAATTCTCCTTGGAGGGAAAGGTAATGAAAGACTCAACCATCCTGATTCAATCAATTTTTCTTAGACATTGTAAGTCATAAAGTTAAGTTTATTAAAAAAAAAAAAAACACTTTAAAAAGTATTGAGACTACAGGAAGAGAGTGATAAACTATTGGTGAGGGCTTTATTTCATTTTTTATTTTATATTTTACTTTGTATGTCCCATAAGTAGAAGAAAATATTTTTAACTTGTGAATGATTTTATGTTTGAAATTTTAAAAGGTAAATGTGAGTCATTTACTTGTTAATTCTATAAGTAACCTTACTAAATTGTGCTTCTCTACACTTTCAGTTAATAGCTGAAAGGGGACACACATAGTTTTTTTTCACATTTATTTCTCTCAAAAGAATTTCTTCATAGACATAACAGCAATTCTTTGAACAATAGTACAATTATTGTATTCACTAGAGAGAAGTCCACTCTATTTTCCTTTTAGAAAGATCCACAAAGTAAGCAATTTTGAAAACATTAATCTAGACCCTCACCTGGGAAGGATCTACTGGAGTTTCTTTATCTTATAGATTCCACAGTGAACCTACACATTTGTTTTAGTAAAAATTTTTGAGAGAAACAAGACTTTCAGTCAATAAAATTTCTAATTTCCAGTTATACAAATAGGGTTGTACTTTATTTGAATGCGTAAACACTCTTTTATTTTTTAAGAGTTTCTGATAACCTTATATTCTCCCATGTGTAAAAAACACTACATCTAAACTTTGTACCTGAATAGTCTTGCCATTTTAAAGGCAAAGATATCTCTGGAGGCCAATTTTTATTTATTTTTAAGTATTTATAGTGAATCTTACAATTGATCAAACCGTTGCTCTGACAAGCTGAAGAGAGGTAATGGTGAAAATCTGAGCCATAAAAAGGAAGAAAAACCCCACTTTTCAATGAAAGTATGCATCTATCCTGGCTATTAGTCTCTTTGGGAGCATTTTAAAAGAAAACTATGAAATAATGTTGTTCTATACTTATACAGATGGGTTTATAACTTGAATATTTCACTACTTGTAGTATTTCATCTTTCCACAAATTGGTTTTAAATTTAAGCAATGGCTAGGTAAGGCAAATATGAGCAATTTTCAGGTAAAGCACATTTTATGCCTTAGTTGAAAAATAACTGGATTGAGGGAAAATCATAAACAGGACCAGGACAGGGCATCCTAGCTTGGGCATTAATGGAGGGTAACTGCTTTACTTTCTCTCCAGTAACAATGAGAGTGAGACTCTCCCACATGATTCGCTGTCTACTTGTCTTTCTCCCAATCTGTTTCTTCCATATACACAGGAGTGGGCTTTTGCTGCGTGCTCACACAGTCAGCCTAAAACCTTTCTTTGCATACCCAAAGATTCAATAACGTACTGTACAGGTAATGGACCATCTCCTCCAGGCTCATGCTTTCTCTTCATCAATTTTCAAAATTAGAAGAGAGTAATATCAAAATTTTGTACTGTGTACTTGAAACTAATAAAATAAAATTTTTAAAAAAGATTTATTTCCTTGCTAATATTATAAAAATCAATCTTTTCTTCCTTTCACTAAACCAACACAGAAAATGGATCATCTCAAAACCATCTTTCCCTCTTTTCCACTGTTTGCAAAGGATGAAGTGTCCCTTTTCCATCCTAAGTCTCTTCCTTCTGCAAGTGCTCTAAATACTATTTCCTTTCCTCAGTAACCTCAATCTGTCAGTCATCTCTCCTCTCTCCTCTAACTTCTATTTTGATGTAATTTCAAACTTATAGAATTGTTGCAGGAATACTACAAGAAAATCCACATACTTTGTATCCAGATTTGCCAGTTGTTTACATTTTCCCCTATTTGCTACCACCCTACCCCCACCACAAGGAATCATTTCAGATACAGG